GGTGTCACTAGAACCCCACCGTTTATTTAATTAGTAGTAAAAGTTTGTCAAATTTAACTACAAAAAGTAAAAATAGATAAATATTTAGAGAGGGATGTAGTAGGGGAAAGGTTGGCGGGCGAAGTAAAGTATAAACCAAACATGAACGTTGGAAGACATGCATAGGAAAGCTGGAGAATAGTGTTGGAGGTAAAGGATAGAAGAAAACCATATATTTTACATACCCTGCAAGGAACAAGCAAGCTAAGAATAATGTTTCTAAAACTGATCGATGGATATGCTCCAAATTCAAACATCTCCGGCCATCAACAAAAACAACAAACATTATATGTTACTATTGTTTTGTGTCTCCCAATTCGTTCAAGGCCGCCGCTTAGTTAATTAGTCATTTAATTTTTACAGGCTCAGAATATTTAAATACATACATATACACGACACAGCATTCTATTTGATGAGAGATCCAACGACGACGACCGGTTTAGACGACGGTTTGCCAAGATCAGAAAACGTTATATACGAAGAGGTGGTGCCTCTTTTCGAATGGAATCCAGATTCAACAAGTCATTATTGGCTTCTTCTTCATGTTCCAGGTTAATTTCCGTTATAATTAACACGGTTTCTAAATATTTTTTGTTTGCCATAATTAGGGGTGTAAAGAGATGTTAATCCGATTGGATGTCCCATTACCAGTTATCAGATCCGTATTCGTTTATTTTTATCGAATATCAAATTTGGATACGGATCTTAGCTTAACGAATGTTAAAAGGGTAATTTACATAAATATGACTAAAACATAATGACTTTCTCAATATAGGACTATATGTTTTTATTTCCCAATGTAGGACTATTGGTCATTATCTATTAGTCATTATTCAACTAAATGTCCAGCATCACTTAGACATTATTCTTCTCACTAGTCATTATTAAGTCCTATTTAGGGAATAAAAAAATTTAGGCCCTACATTGAAAAATGACTTATGTTTTAGTACTATTCAATGCAAATTTTACATGTTAAAAAGTACTCCTTCCGTCTCAAAAAACTCTTTTTCCTTTCTTTTTTTTCTTCTCCGAAAAAAGTTTTCCTTTTTCTATAAAAAACTCACTTTTATCCCTACTAGTTCTTAACCGACCTATCACATCATAACTTTTTACTAATAACCTACACATCACATCTTATTTTACCATCACATCAAAGATATTTTTAGAAAATTAACACAAAAATATTCCTCTCTTAATTTCGTAACATTCAAAATGGGAACATCTTTATGAGACGGAGGAAGTAATACATACTACACATATACACACGTATTTGTGCATCCACACATATATTCTAGATATAAAGATGTCTTATACTTTGAAATGTTAATAGAAAAATAACAACAATAACAACAACACCGAATCTAATTGAGTCACATAAGAGTAGGGTCCGAGAAAGGTGTGTTTATACTGCACAGATCATACCCCTACTCGAAAGTAAAGAGGCTATTTCAAAGAGACACTCAGCTCACTATCGAAATTTGCATTGATTGACTAACTGGTACTTCATTAATTATATAAGCGCACACAGTTTAAAGATCCATTTTGTTTTATTTCATCAAATCCCAAAGCTAAAAATAGTCAATTTTTAGTTCCATCAGAGATGATGAAAAATGTTGATAGAATTGGAAAAACAAAATATATAAATAAAAATTTGGAAAAAAGCTACATATATATAAAGGATCAGATATAGAAATAAATAGTTACTTAAAGAGGTGTGTATGCAAAGTAGTGTTAGTTGACCACGGTTCAAATTACATACACCCAAATTTAGTTGCCCACATTCCCGATTTTTCAACACTGGATATTTTATTATACGTCCAATATGTTTAGTAAAGAGATTGTGGAGTATTATCCCTCTAAAAAGCATATTAAGACATCCACAATGCTACCATCCATGATGCTCAAAGCCTCAAACATAAAAAATTGTCGGTAGGCATTGCATAGTTGGTAAAGATAAAGACCGTCAAAGTGTAAGATCAGAATTTGATTCCTACCAATATGTGATCAAATTCTAATTTATCTTCTCTCGCTAATCGTTCGGCCAAGTGTGACGGGCCCCATACTCCCGTTTTTTCAACATTCAAAATTTATTATACGTCCATATTTAGTACTCCCTCCGTTTTGACGTTTGCAGTCAATTTTTTTTAACTTTGTCCATGGATTATGGTAAATATATATTGAATTGTGAAAATCAATAGATTCATTCAGACACTAGTTTTGAAATATAATAAAAGTCAAAATACAACTCATTATTTAGTGTGAAATCATAAAAAGTCAAAATACAACTCATTATTTAGTTCCGATGTTAGTTGCGCACGGTTCAAATTATAAAAATCATTCTAGATAGGACTAAAACATAGAAAAAAGTACCCAAATAGAAGTTCCATGTTTTTATTTCTGAAATATGTGGCACTGTGCATAGGGGTGTTCATCGGTCCAGGACCGGACCGAACTGGACCGAACCGGACCGAAGACCGAAATGGGAAAAAATAAGGACCGAAGACCGGACATATAAGTGTTCGGTTTTAGACCGGACCGGTTTTGACCGAAAAGACCGAACTGTACTAATTCTTTTACTTTTTAGAATTAATTTTTTAAATATTTTACAAGTAGAATAACCCTAAAAATGTAATTATACCCAAAAAATATAGTTCATCACAAATCATAATCGGGAAATAGAGATGCAATTATATTAAACTGAAAAAACTTCATCATACAATTGTATAAAGAAATGGCAGTAACTTGGATTTTATTTCTTCATTAGATTCCTTCCAAAATTGAACCAAAAATAACAATTGATCACAAATCATAGTAGGGAATTGGGGATGCAATTGTATCAAAGTGAAAAAAAATTGCAGTAACTTGGATTTTATTTCTTCATTAGATTCCTTCCAAATGGAACCAAAAATAACAATTGATCACAAATCATAGTAGGGAATTGAGGATGCAATTGTATCAAAGTGAAAAAACTCCATCATGCAACTGTATAGAACGGATACTAAGAAGCCCTGCTCGCGAATTATACTTCTCGATTTGGTACAAATCGGACACTAAGAAGCCCTGTTGGCTCGCCAATCGAGGCCGGCCGCTGAAATCGGATTCTGGGGTTCTTCTCATAACCGGAAATGGAACTCTGAAGATCGATTCCTCGGGAGGGGATTCGATCGAGCTTTACTCCAGTTAATCGGAAACCAAAGCGAGTGATGTTTTGCTGGATAATGGGAATTTTGTGCTGAGAGAAGATGGAGATTGTCGATTCAAGAGTGAGAGGGAGAAACGACACCAGAGAAAAGGGATAGCCGGATAGGGTAGGGTTGTAGAAATTAGGAATTAAAGGGTTTTATCGGTCGGTCGGTCCAAATGGTAATCGGGTTTGGACCGGACCGAACCGAAACCCGAAATCATATATTTTCCGAACCGAAGACCGACCCGATATCAATTCGGTCCGGGTTCGGTCTGGACCTATCGGTCCGGTCTGGTTGGTTTTTTCGGTCCAGACCTAAACATGAACACTCCTTACTGTGCATGTGCACATTAATTACTATACTTTTTGGTAAATGTACATGACCATGTTTGGTACTGTAAATGTATTTTAACTTTTATTTCGAAAATAAAAAATGGAAGTTCTATCTTGATATATTTTCAATATTTTACTCATACTTTTGTCGTTTTTCCTTCAAATTACCCCCAAATTTGGTTGTCCACACTCGTGGTTTTTTTAAAATTTGAAATTTATTGTACATTCATATTTAGTACTCCCTCCGTCCAGAAAAAGAAGTACCCATTTTGACTTTTGGTTATTTTTATTGAGTGTTGACTCTAAGCATAATTTGTCTAAAATGCCCTTGGCACCAATCGCTCATTTGAAGGCTTGTAACTGCCCCAACTCCAATTACCACCATCGCCGCCCCAACTCCCACTACCCCCACCGCCGCACCCAGCCTATCATCACCATCGGCGCACCATCTTCGTTAGACCCCACCACCATCAATCCAACCCCACCATCACCGCTAACCCCCGCCACCATCGCCGGCAACCCCCGCCACCATCGCCAGCAACGCCACCGTCATCGCCCCAAACTGCCACCATCGTTAGACTTGGGAAAAAGAGAAAAAAGAAGGGAGAGAAAGAGGAGACGAAGAAGAAAATGATGATGATATTAAAAGTATAGATCCGCATAGATCTATCGCAAATCTCCGCAGATCTGAGAAAGTGAGAAGACAAGCAAGGGAATGAAGGGGGAAAAAGAAGGAAAAAAAGGAGTAGGAGTCAATTTAGGGGAAAGAGGAGGGATAAAAAAGAAGGGGCATTCTGGTAGAGAAGAAGAAGAATGAGAGAAGAAGAAGAAGGCCAGAAGGGGATCGGGTGGGGGGGGAAGAGACAGAAGGATGAGAAGATAGATTAGAAATAAAAAGAGTGGCTGGTGAGGGATAAAGAGCCGAGAAGAGGATTGTGACTTGGGAGTGAGTGGGAAGGGTATTTTTGGAAGAATGTGTATTAAAACGTATAATGTGAAGTTTATTTTCGGACAAAAAAAGTATAGAGTGTGAACTTCTTTTTGGGCATATTAGGGCATCCATAATGCTAGTATCCATCCTGAGATTCTCAGTGGTTTCGAAAAATCATTATTGAGAATACTTAAAGACCGTGTATAATTTTTGAATTCTTGGCTTTATTGCTTTAATATAAAAATTATAAAAGAAGATTCTTTCTTTATTAAGTATTTATTCAATACAAAGTAAAAAATTTAATTAGTATTTAAATTAATAAAACTTTATATAATTACATTATCATTAAAATTATTAAAGAAAATCAAAATTGACAAACATCTATGACATGCATGAACTTGAAGTATAGTGAGACTTCAAATCCTACTCTAATTAATTAAATGATAGCTAGAATGAGTTATGTTGCTTCATTTATCATACTTCAAAGCTTACACATTTTTTAGTAAAAAAGAATTTATATTTTATACTCCGTAATTTTTTTAGCCTTAAAAAAAATCAGGTCACCACGATGATCACGTACACTGTTAACTTTTCAACAATTTCCAAGATATTTTTTGATACTTTTAAAATCAAAATGTCAATTTTGTTGTAAAATAACAAAAGAATCATCTATAAAATGGGTCATCTTGAAAATTGGGCCCTGTGTAGATGCACCTGATGATAAACGCCTATGGCGCCCCTGATGCTCAAACACATAGAAAGTCATTATATTTGTGCATCTTGCTTAAGCATCTATTTACTCTCCCTGTCTCTAAACATATTTCTTTTTCTTTATTTTCTTTGTCCCAAAATGTAGTTCCATTTTCTATTAAATTATCAATTTTACCCTATTCGTTCTTACTTTTACCTATGCAATGATATTTTTAGAAAGTTAATATTCCCTCCGTCCCAGTGTATTTGTCCAGTTTGACTTTTTAGAGTCAAACTGGATAAACTTTGAGATTCAATTAAATAAAAACCGTAATGTATTTTAACATAAAAATGATTTTATTAGATTTATCGTATTGACAACTTTTAAAATTATATTTCATTATGCTAATATGTAACACAAATTAAGAGTAATTGGAGTACAAAGTTTGTCCAGTTTGACTCGAAAAAGTCAAATTGGACAAACAGACTGGGACGGAGGTATTACAAAAATATACCTTATATATATAAATTCCAAAAAAATCATAATAGGAAAAAGATTTAAGAACGGAGGCAATATGTGCTAGCAGCTCCAATAGTGGCATATAATTTAGATGTTTAGAATTTATTTTTTAGACATTTGACATTCATTCATTGGACTATTAAAAAACAAGGCACTAAGGTCATGTTCTCTTCACCTGATCTAAATGGTTCTGATATGATTGGAATAAGTTTTGATATGATCTGAATGTACTTATATTTTAAGTTATTTCTAATCCGATATGGTTTGATCTGATTTGATTCCAATAAGAATAACTATTAAGTAAAAAAAATTAATTTGAGGAGAACATGACCTAATTAAATTATGTGTACACTATTCACGTGGGGAAAATGTAATGTTACACCAACAAAAAGACATTCATTTGTGATACTAGTTCAATTGGGGTACCTGCGGTGCTCTATTCGTAAAATTGAAGGTTTCTACCCCTAATCTCCTTAAATCCCACATCAATTTTACTTCCACCCCGCACCCCAATCCCCACGCAGGATTGCTGATTTGGCATTGTCGTGGGGGATTGGGGTGAAATTGGTGAGGGGGTTTAGGAGGGGATTTTAGGAGGATAGAATCATCAATTTTATGAACAAAGCAATATAAGTGCTAGAATTGAACAAGTGTCACGAAATTACACCACTAGAAGTAGTGTAACATTACAAGCTCCCTATTAGAAATGGTTAACTAAATACATGCGTATGGATAGAGCAATTTATATTCAAGGAGCTAGTGTGAGTGAAGTGGGTTTATCATTTACGAAGTATAAATCACACGCATTACTTGGCATGATTGTGTTTAATTTGTGCTTCACATTTTTAACAAAAAAAATGTTCATTTCCATTTAAAGGGTTCAGAAGGGAGGATTTGAGAGTGGAAGTTCGGGCAAATGGTCTCATAAGGATTGGTGGAGAAAGGAAGGTAAATGGTACAAAGTGTATCTGGTTTGACCAATTTTACACAGCACCAAAAAATTCAAAACCTCAAGATAGCAGAATGGAGCATGCAGATGGGGTTTTAAAACTAATCATCCCAATGCTGGTTGTTGAAAATAATCTTCCTTCTCCTACCCCTTCCAAGACACCAAGAGATGAAGGAAAATCATCATTATCGGCTCATGAAAAGGGCAAAAATGTGAAGGAGAAAAACCCCATAGCCGAGACACCCCGAGGCGAAGAAGAAGATCCGAAACACAAAAAGGCAAACGACAATGGTGCAAAGGGAGAAAAGAAGTCATGTGATTGTTTGGCAAAAGTAGCAAACATGGTGAAGCAGAATATGGGAGTTTTCTTTGCAGTTATTCTAGCCTTTTCTTTTGGTGCTTTTGTGTCCCAAAACAAACTTAAGAAAGTGAACAATGACAAAAGAAGTATTGGCTAAACTCAATAATGTGCAAAGTCATAGTCAGATTAATTAATACTAGTAGAGAAGAGTATCTTTGGTGTAGGATTTCATTCTTCATTCCTTCAAAACACTTTTCTTTGGTAATGAGAGAACAAAATACTCCTTTCCTCTCAAACCTTTGTTCTCATTTTAACTTTTGTGGTCAATATTTTTAAATTTTGACAATAAATTAGAGAGAAAAAATACATTGAGTTGTGATATACTGAAACATAATTTTGAAATATCGTATCATATAAACTCTATCTTTATATATAAATAGAGATATTAATTGTCAAATTATCATATTGAAGACCATAAAAAATCAAACGTGAAAAAAAATGAGAGGAATGTTTGTGATTTAGTGGCATTGACTATTTTATGTAATTGAGATTTAATTCAAATTAACGATTAATAGACATTGTTAATGCATTCGGAGGTCAAATGCACGTTTCTTCAACGATATTACAAATTTCATAGTGAGGGATATGGGCGGCATCCCCCGGCAGGGTCCACGGAGCAGAGCCAATGGTCGGGGTCAAGCTACCGGGACAATTGGAAATTTTTATTTAGGACGTCATTATTTCATGAAAACCCTTTGGATATTTGTAAATGAAATTCAAAGTGACATCTGAATGTATAAAACAATAACAATACATACAAATGTGATGCTTATCTCTAACATCCTTTGTAAAAAGGGTTGATATATTTAATGTTTGATCCCAAATATTTGAATGTTGTGCGATAAGATGTAAAGATTTGAACATAAATATAGAAATCGATATCAAAGTTCATTACTAATCACTATGAATGATGTACCCCCGGATGGCTCAAGAAAAACCACCCTCTCCCAAATATCCAAAAATCTTTCATTTCTTCCCTTTTGATCAAAATAAAATCTTCCCCATCCATTTTGAAGCCTTGGCCGAAAAATGAGACCAAAGAAGACAAAAATAAAACCTTTGTTTCTTGTTTTTGCCTTTTCAAATCCTTATACAACAAAACCACAAAATATTCTCCTCTTTGTTTCCTAATCTTGATCCTGAAACCATGAATAATCGATTATACATAACTGATAATCGACTATTCTATCCCTCTGATTCCTCATCACAAACCAGCAACCTCCAACAATCGATTATCTCCAACCTGATAATCGATTATCTATATTCTCAGAAAATACCCAGTTTTGTGCAGGCCTTGTTAATCGATTGATCATGCTTGTCAATCGACTAATGGGTATCTCTTAACATTCATGTTTTGGAAAAAAAAAATCTTATTAATCGATTATCTAAAGATGCTAATCGATTATTATACATCTCTGAACTTCAAAACCCAAAGTTGTTCAATTCCTATTTTCCTTTCCTAAGATTGGGTATAAGGTCAAAATTATGTCCTGATTTTCAAAAAAGAATAAAGCGTTTTCTTCCACAAAACAAAAGCATGATCACTTTTGAAACAAAGGAACAAAAATCACAAACAAAGTCATTGAATGAATAGTGCTGTTTTGGCATTTTATTCACAAAAGTCTAAAGCTTGATTTCCTTTTGTTTTCTTCCTTATGTGCACGAAATTTCTCCCTAAATAAACCCAAGGAAGATCAGCCCAAAATCAAGAGAAGCATCTTGGAAAATCAGCTCACATGGATGGACATTAATCTTTGATTTTTAGGAAAGAAGTAGGAAGTTTCCTTTATTGTATTTTTCTTTATTTGTTGTTGTACTTCCCCTCCATTGTGGCCTATATATACACAGCCATATGGCCATTGTAAGCAGTCATGGATTGAATAAAAACTTCTTTGTTTTACTCTTTGAGTAATTCTTTAAAATAGTGTGATGCTATTTTAACCAAATTTCCTAATGAAATATCTCTAAAGTTGGCTACTTTTGAGTGCGTGTTAGGAGTCTAATTTTATACATTAGTAGTGATTATTAATGTGTAAAAGAAGATAAAAGCCCCAAGTTAAGATAAGAGTGTGTCATATCTCTTAACACCAACTTGGTTGATCCCTTCACTTTTCTGCCCATTTCATTCCTCACCATTTCTTTTTCCTAAACTTATTCTTTTCTCTCATTAAAACACCAAAAAGAACTCTTTCCCACACTCCATATTTCATCCCATCATCCATTTCCTTCCGCAAATTCTTCTCCAAAATAGCTACTCGTTAAGACCCCGGGTCTCGGGTACAACAATGAATGAACATTTGAATGTTTTGTTGGCCGTGAATGTCGTACCCCGTATCCGTTTTGATGACCCAAATAAGTCTAAAGGTACTAACATTATTTGCATGAAGAACCAAATGCCATTCAGGTTTTCGGATACCACCCTCATTTGGTTCTAGTTTCTTTCAATTCGTTAGACTAAGATGGCGTGAGTTCGTCGTACAATTGGGCGATTCTCATAGAACAATGGTTGTCCTTGCATAGTTAGTTTCATGCATTATGTAATCATCATCAAGAACAATCATATTAATTGTATGTGCCATCAAGTATTTATCATCATGAACCATCATCTTAATCATAGTGCTATTGTATGCCATTTCATGAATAATTATATGTCTACTTGTTATTCAACTTTATATTGGTTTTATCTTAATCACTGTGTGTGTATTTTGTTTTTTCTTGTTACAGGCAGGTAGGAATGCAGATCGATCATGAAGCCCATCCCGGAAGTCAACGAGAGTGAGGAGATGTACAAAGTGGTGGACTTTCATTATGCAATATTAAAATAAATTACATTTTCAGGCGAGCACCCAGAAAATGTAACATGAATTTGGTAATGTACTATTTTTAAAGCTTCCACACTATTTAAAGATATTACTCCAAAATAAATGTTTGAACTTAATATTTACAATTTAGTTTAAATGATTTTCAATTATTCATAAAGTTATCATCCGCATATACCATTTTGGTAATTAACCACTCTGACTTGAATATCCGCGATATACATGTTATATGAGTTGGAGTGTTACATTTTGGTAAAAGAGTATTTGTTTTTAAAAACGATTTTGGAATTCCAATCAAATGAATTTTAGATGCACGTTCGCATCCCTCCACATCTTTACCCCGAGAAGATAAACAGTTAGTATCAATTAATTTATTGATGTCTAACTAGATTTTCTATCAATTATAGAATGAGTCAGACTTCGACTCATGGCCAGGAGAATCCTCACGTGGAGCGTGAGCATGTTAGTGTATATACGGTGCACACTGAAGCGTCTAGTTACACGCCACCACAGCAGTAGCAGAAACCTGAACAAACCCAAATATGGCTATCCCCATGTTTCAGCCATAGATCATTGAACATGGTGTAGTGTTTCTAGCATGTGGCAGGAGCGTATGTACCTCCACCACTGCCACTTCCAGCACTGCCTCCTATGCATATCATTTTGATCGAGAAACTCAAGAAGAATGGGGCAAAAGACTTCCGTAGTGATCAAATAGCAAACCCCTTTATCGCTAAGCATTTGCTAGAATGCATAATGAGGGTACTTAATAATCTGAATGTATCCATGGAGGATTGAGGTCAGCAAGCTACATCATTGCTGCAGGATACTGCGTATGACTGGTGGAAACGTATGCGTGCAAACATTCCAGAGCTCGAACCTTGGGCTATATTTGATCCACTCTTCAAAGCAGAGTATGTACCACAAAACTATGTGGAGGCAAAACATGAAGAATTCATGATGTCCACTCAGGAGAAACTCACTCTCCTGGAATATTGTCAACAATTCGACGAGTTAGCCGAGTTCGCCAAGGACTTGATTTAGACCATAGAGAAGTGCTACAAGATGTTCTTCAAGGAAATGAGACCTGATCTCTCTTCAGGACTTATTGTGGTTTTCTGGGACAATATTGTAGGACCTTAGGCGCTACCAACTCTTCTAAAACCAATTGGTGTTAGAAGAGGCGCATACCCTAGCCTTATAGTGCATTCACCACACAAGCGCCCACGACATTCGATTGTGACTTGGCCCACATAGCCTCCGCCACGGGACAATTGATGCACACATGGCCAACAATCTCCCCCTCAGCAATTGCTCCCGCTGGGAATCGAACTCGTGACCTTGGCTCTGATACCACTTGTAGGACCTGCGCTACCACTTGTTGGCCTTGAATGCCGTACCCCGTAACCATTTTGATGTACCAAATAAGTCTTCGAAATGTTACTAACATCATTTGCAGGAAAAACAAACGCCAAAACCTCTATTAGCTTGTTTAGCATCACCGAGATATACTCCTACGAGTTTAGAAATTGTTGTGTAAAGGTAATGATATATTTTAATGAGTCACTTATGCCCTTTCACTCAAAATTTAATTTTAAAATGACAAATATATTCTTAGTTGGGGTTATTTTGAAAACGGAACACAAAAAATGAGTTTTGGAATTTTTACACAGGCCTAACGGTACCTGGCTACCGTGTACACGACACCAGGGTACCGCCGGTAGCCAAGTGAACGTACCGTTGTACGTTTCACCTGGGTGGTACACGGTACCCCCCTACCGTGACAACGGTACCTGGGTACCGTCGGTAGGCTTGGGAAGGTTGGCCAGACCGTTTGAACCCAGATACCGCCAGAGCCGAACCAATTCTATAGCTTACACGGTACCCCCTAACGGTAGGCTGTACCGTGTGTCACGGTACCTAGGTACCGGACGGTACTGACCCTACCGTGAAGGGTACCGGATCCGTTGGCAGCACTGTAGCAAATTACCAATTTAAATTTAAATCACCCCTAATCACTTCCTAACGGCATTTAACGTTAAAAAACTCAAATTTTAACATTCCAAACTCCTATATAAACCCCCTCTAAGTCTCATTTTAGGCACAACAACTTCTCAATTAAATCTAAAGCCTCTTTCTCTAATTCTTGAGTGTTCTTAAAGCTTTGTTCTTATTTTTCTTACTCCTTTGAGTAAAAAAGCTTTCATCTTTTTATACACTCACACACAAGGGCATTTGTGCTTCATTATTTTATATCTTGCCTATAGGCTTTTGTTGTTGTTGATTTAATCTTTTGTTCTTCTCCTACCCAATTCATATTTGTTATTATTTTGGTAGAGAAGCAACACGAATCTTTTATTGATTTGTAAAAGGTGTGGATAGCCTTTAAATCCTCATTGTAAGGTTGAAGATAGCCTTAAAATCTTCGGTTGTAAACGGTTGAGATAGCCGTAGTAAAATCTCGTTTGCTTATTGGCAAGGGTTGTTTGCCAAACCTCGTTTGAGTCTTCTTAGTGAAGCCAAACAAGTTAGTGGAGGTTAAATCCTTGAGGAGGAGCCTCGAGGTACTGGAGTAGGGAGTTCCCGAACCAGTATAAAATCGCTTGTGTCGTATTTTTAT